ACTCTAGTCGCCCACGGGCATCAACACAGGCGAAGAAGTGAAGTGCCCGCTCAGCGGGCAGGAACTTCGTACTACATCTAAGCCTAAGCCTCCCACCACATTTAGGAGTGAAGTTTTGATTAAAAGAAATTTAGTGATTTGCGAATGAGAACAATATTAATGACTTTGCTATTTAATGACTACCTATTGTACCGAGAGCGACACTGAAAAATAATCATTAGAAATATTTTTGTGGAATTTGAAGAATTAGTTCATAAAAAGCAAGAATACTGAGCAGTTTGGATGTAAGCTTTCAGAGATATTAAAATAAGGAGTGACTGATTACACCACTAGCAGCATGACCATCGCTTTTAGATCCGTCAGTGAATACTGGAATAAAGTCAGAGTGTGTTTCTCGATGAGTGTTAAGGATCTGTTGATGGATAGTTGTTGCTGTTTGTCCTTTTGTAAAGTGTTTAAAAATATTTAAGTTTCGAATCTGAATTACCGAGCAAGTACTCATCCAGCAAGGTGAGGGAATAAATAAACTTAAGATGTACAGATGTAAACATTGAGGTCAACGGACATATATAAAGTCATCCACATAGATAGAATTAGAGTAAAAGTCGAGAATTACAGAAACAGATCAGGCCCAGTGTCACAATTGCCAGAATTTCTTCTATTCATCCTCAGCTTGCCATCTTCTTCCAAGATGCGTTAAATGCGGAGAGAATCATCCAACCAGTGCTTGTAACAAGAAAAAAGAAGACCCAAAATGCTGCAATTGCGGGGAAAAGCATCCCACAAGCTATAGAGGTTGCACTAAATTCCCTGTGGTTAAAAGGCAAGAACCAAAAAGAACAGATAAAGTGTTCCATAACAAATCTTATGCTGACGCAGTAAGAAAGTCAGAAATGGAAGTTTTAAAAAGCATGATTAACGAAGCTAAAAAAGTATTCAAAGACCTTGGAGGTCTTGTAGCCATTGTACATGCAGCAAAAAGGCTTCCTGCCCTAAACAAAGCTGTTGATACATTAAATGAGGAAAACAACAAATACAATTATGAATAATACAGCCATAAGATGGAAACCAATCCAAATCATGGTGTGGAGCGCATCTAATCTCTCCACTAAATTAACTGAATTCATTAGCTTCCTACATGACCATGATATAGACATTGCTCTAGTGACTGAAACTCACGCCAATGCAGGCAATAACTTTAATATTGTTAATTATAATACCTACGAAACAGACAGAACCATCTGCCGGGGAGGCGGCACTGCCATATTTACTAAAAGAAGTCTAAAAACCACGCTCTATTGCAACACTGCCGATAATGGCTTCGAAGAGACGTCCATATTACTTTACAAACTAATAAGGACTTTATTAAACATTAACCTCAGCTGCTATACTATTACAGCATTATCAAGCGACCACATTCCAGTGATTGCTACCATTGGCTCACATCTAATAGAAACCAACAGCATTACTAAGAAAATAGACTGGAATTTGTTCCATAATATTCTTGTTACTCAAAATGAATACCCACAACCAGTCAGCAATATTGACATTGAGAACAATATTACTAAGATTACTAAAGCTATACAAGATGCCTTAAATGAAGCTACTACCATTACTAGCAACTCTAATAATCACCAAAAGCTGCCCCATGATATTAAAGAGAAAATATACTATAAAAACTATGTGCGTAAGCAATGGCAGAAATATAGAAATCCAGCTGATAAGAGTCAGTTAAATACGCTCACTAAGGAAATTAAAAAACTATGCACAAATCACAGCACAACAGCCCAATCACTAATGTTAACCAAGATGAGGTTACCAACATTATCAAGAAGCTTAACAATAGAAAATCCCCAGGCGAAGACAATATAAATAACAAAATGATCAAGCAACTACCCCTCAACAAAATTAGAGACATTATTAACATCTATAATGCCGGCCTCAATTTGAACTACTTCCCTAATAGTTGAAAGAATGCTGTTATAATATTCCCAAAGCCTGGAAAAGACTCTAGACATCCGGAGAATTACAGGCCTATAAGCCTTCTGCCAACACTGGGGAAAATGCTTGAAAGAATAATCCTATCCAGGCTAGAACCATTCTTGACCTTCCTCCCTAAAGAACAGTTTGGTTTCAGGAAGCAGCTCTCTACTACCAAACAGTTGATACGCCTCATTCACTGCATTAGTGATGGAATCTTTAAGAAAGAAACCACCGCACTGCTCATGCTAGACGTGGCCAAAGCATTTGACCGCGTCTGGCATAGAGCACTTATTCTCAAACTTATTAACCAGAATCTGCCACATAATATTATAAGCATCATAGACTCCTACCTCAGCAGCAAGACTTTCCAAATTTGACTTAATGGACATCTTTCAACTAAAAGGAACATAAAAGCGGGTGTGCCGCAAGGCAGCATCCTTGACCCTATCCTTTATCTTATTTTCACTTATGACTTCCTCTCATGCAGCAACAATATAAATCAAATTATAGCATATTACGCGGATGATACAGCTATAGCTATCAGATCCATGAATCCTAATCAGGCAATAACAAATATCAGCAGCCTCATGCCAGAGATAGAAGCTTTGTGTGCCGATAACAAAATACTAATAAAGCCTGGAAAAGACTCTAGACATCCGGAGAATTACAGGCCTATAAGCCTTCTGCCAACACTGGGGAAAATGCGTGATAGAATAATCCTATCCAGGCTAGAACCATTCTTGACATTCCTCCCTAAAGAACAGTTTGGTTTCAGGAAGCAGCTCTCTACTACCAAACAGTTGATATGCCTCATTGACTGCATTAGTGATGGAATCTGAAATATCTTAGGTTCATGCTAGGAGTAGTTTGGGAAAGGACGAGAAGCATTCATAAAGAATTATATAAGTTTTTTATTACATTTAACATTATGCATTTCTGTCGGCTGCGCTGTCAACATTCGGCAAGCTACACGCATTGATGTTCTGGGCTGTTGCCAGTTGGCATACATAACTATTGCAAAACATTTACAAGTGGAAGTTGCAGTATATAACAATCCCTCTCTTCTTAAAAAAATGAAATTATTCACAATTCAATTGCTAACAAGATTTCACAGTTAAACATGCATATTACAATAAACAGCAATTAACTATACTTGGGACCGAAACTTGGGATCATAATCTACCCGAGAATCACTCTCTGGTTTTAGCAAATCTAAATGGCTCCTCATTGGACGATTNTCTGTCGGCTGCGCTGTCAACAACCGGCAAGCTACACGCATTGATGTTCTGGGCTGTTGCCAGTTGGCATACAGAACTATTGCAAAACATTTAAGTGGAAGTTGCAGTATATAACAATCCCTCTCTTCTTAAAAAAATAAATAAAATTATTCACAATTCAATTGCTAACAAGATTTCACTGAGTTAAGCATACGTATTACAATAAACAGCAATTATAATTTGAGCAATTTTCTTGAAATTCATGGAACATTTAAGCTTAAGGTAAAGAAGTAAAAACATAGAAATTACAACAAAATTTAAAGTTCAGAAATAAAAGTAAATAATTAAAGTCTACAAGTCCAATTTTTCTGGAGGCTTCCTGGGACGCATAGAACGCCTTAAGGGTAGGGGTGAGGGAACTAAACCCGGTGGTTCCTCTTGTATAACTGTTGAATCAGGGCGCGGTGTCACATTTGGGACCTGTAGTGGTAATGCTGCAGATTCGCTTGGCTCTGAGATTGAGTCAGAAGCCATTGGGGAATATGAGCAATCAACATTCCTCAAACGCAGTTGGTCATTGTGTCGAATCACTTTTCCATCGGATAAGGATACTTCAGACATGACACGTCCTTTGGGAGAAGTCACTTCTCCAGGAATCCATTTTGGACCACGCCCGTAATTCCTACACCAAACTCTGTCCTGGGACCGAAACTTGGGATCATAATCTACCCGAGAATCACTCTCTGGTTTTAGCAAATCTAAACGGCTCCTCATTGGACGATTGAACATGGCCACGGAAGGTGCTACTCCAGTCACCGAATTTGGCGTGAGACGATAGTAAAAAAGAAATTTATCTAGTCTCTCTTGAAAGGAACCACTTTTATTCTTCCTCATTGCATCTTTCATGGAACGAACAGCTCGTTCCGCTATTCCATTCGACTGCGGGTGGTAAGGTGCTGTTCGCACATGGGTTATGCCATTCTTACCAAGGAAACCAGAAAATTCATCACTGGTAAATGAAGTTCCATTATCACTTACCATTGTTCTCGGAAGTCCAAATCTCGCAAAGATGGAACGTAACGCAACAATAGTTGCAGTTGAAGATGTCGAAGCAACAGGAATAGCCTCCAACCACTTGGTGGCAGCATCAACAACTAAAAGGATCAAACGATTTTCAAATGGTCCTGCATGGTCGATATGTATCCTGCTCCAGGGATCATTTGTAAAAGGCCAGGGTGCCACAGTAGATGGGGGTACTGCAGCTTCAACTTGGCAGAGAAGACAGGATTTCACCAGTTCTTGGATGTCTTCATCCATGTTTGGCCACCAAACAGACTGCCGAGCGGCCAGAGCCTTTACAGCACATATACCTTGATGACTTCCATGAATCTCAGAGAGAACATACCTTCTGAATTTTTGAGGCACAAAAATCCTACCACCACGAAAAATTAGACCATCTTCCACAGACAGTTCTGCACGACACAGCCAGAAAGGCCGTATTTCTTCAGTAACAGTCTTAGGCCAACCTTGAAGTATATACCTTTTCCAGTGGTGCAAGTGGCAAAACATGGTTTGGGAGCATCTTTGGAGCAACAAAAAAGCAATTTTGGAGCAGCGAAACAAAGATTTGGAGCATAGTTAATAAAAAGAATTAAAATAAGAATTTAATAACAAGAATTTTTAATTTTGTTCATTAATAACATATCTTATTTTTTTACACTTTTTTGAGGGTCCCTGCATTAACAAATTAAGTTTCTTTTTGCTATTCTCCAATGCTGTTAAATATTCTGCTATCCTCGACTTAGCCTCAGATAAGAGGATCTGTCCGCTTTCTATAATCAACATGTCTTTATTATTTAATTTCATATTTTTTTCAGCTGAGGCTAAGAGATCAGGAGAAGCCTTAAATTTTTTTCGCAAATCAATTTCAATCTGCTTTCCTCGGTTTCAGTGTTTTCACATTCTTTTTGCTTTCTTTTTCCTCAACCTCTAATCGAGCAGAATAATTTTTAAATGCTGCACGTGCCACTTTAATCATATTGTTGTCCACTTGAAAGTTATTTAAACCCCCTACTTTGTTAATATGTGACACAACTTGTCTCAAACCATTAACACTATGCGAATTTAAACTTGCCTTATTGTCAAGTAGCGTTTCGCTCACAAAGTGTTGCATTACAAAATGCAACACTTTAAGATGGTACAGTAACCTATTTTCAAGAGACAATGCTTTTAAAAACTTTTTTGCGCATGCCAAGTAAAAAGACCTGAACCTAAATACATAGATTTTTCCTCTGAAGAAGATAAGGACGTCATCGCCTTTGTGGTATCTACTCCAACATCTATTAAATTTGAATTTTGCCAAATATCACTACATCCAATGATTTTAAGTCCTTTCCTGACAAACTAAGAAAAGCATAACTCTTCAAAAAAACGTCCTAACAATGCTTTAACTAGAGACACCATTTCATCATACAGCAAGTGAATCAATGGTGTCTCAGTTTGGAAAAGATCTAAAAATTTATTTAATATAGCCGAAATATTTCTTAAAAAAGAGCTTTTGGCTAAAGCAATTTAAATAAATTCAATATTGAGTGGCTCATACTATTTTTTAAATTAACAATTACTTTATTTAATTCTGTAAAAGGTAATTCAAAACTCTAATTTAACTATTATTTAAGGTTATAGAGTGTATTTTTCTTAAATTTTAAATAAATGTTATTTGTAATAGTAAATTCAACAAAACATTAACAGGATTAATATTCATACTGAATTTATAAAAATATGTAAAGAATTAAGCAAATTAAGAAAACTTTAATAAATTTATATTACAAGTATAAATTAGTAAATGGCCCCTAATAAATTTTTATTAAAATTGGTTACCTAGCACTTTATTT